ATGTCTTTCCAGAATGGTCGATGACCTATTGCTTTTTTGTGACCATTAAAATCGCAACTTTTTAAGTTCTTATAATCTCGTTTTTCAAAAAATTATGTTTATGTACAGTTAAAGATTAAGCGTCTCCGATCCCAATCTGTCATTCCGTATATGTGAAATATTACATTTTCAACATTTTTTTCTCTCTAATTTCATCGATGACATACCTTAAAATTTTGCACACGTCAAGTTCAGTACTTCAACTTCATTATATAAAAACATTAAACATATCTATCGTAACTCGATTTACTAAAGAACCACCTTAAGTAACATATCTATTTATGGAAAAGGAAAAATATCACGAAAATATATGTTATTTATTACAGTAATAATATAGATAATTTATTACAGTAATAATAGATAAAATAAATTATTAAAAATTTCGATAATCTGTATTTTTATCATATTTTTATTAAGTTAGATGTATATTATTTATATTTATAAGAAAGTAAATTTTTTGCTACCATTATATTTTGATGCCATAAAGTAGATTTTGACTTTACCTGTGTAGCAGTTATTCTGTTCTATTAATATTAAACCAGTTGCTATTAATAATTATTACATCCACCATTAAAACACTCTGCTATTATTCAGTTGCTATATTTTATCTTATCTAGATCAGATGTTAGTTTTGAGACGCTAACTTTTTCATCTCTTCATTATCAAAACGATAATGATGCCATTATTCTGTAATCGTCAAATCATTCGCCCCTAGTTTTTGGTAAAAATTTTGTGCTGAGTTCCAGTTAAGAACCATGAAATCTATTTTGTTACAATTGTTTTCCAATGCATCCTATAAACATTTTGTTATTTTTAGATACGTATAATATACTACATATAAAATTCTAATTAAATCGATAAACGTACTTTTGCAACTATTTGTATAATTTTGCTACCAACATGTTTCTGTCGAAAATCCGATGCCACGTAAAGATCATCCATAAATATAGATCTTCCAGTCCATGGAGAATAAGTGTACGAACCAAAAGTGTAACCAATGAGATTTTTGTCACATGTTGCCACGTAACAGAGAAATAAGGGTTTTTCACCAAAACCATCTTTTTCTAACGCTAAACAATTATTTTGGTATTATTAGACAGAAAGTTATATAATAATACAAACCGAAATAATATATAAAAAATCTCACTCTTATAATCAATTTTTATTGCGTTGGGCATTCTCTGATAGATCGCTAGTTTCTACTGTATATATATATATATTGTATATATAATATTTTTATATAATACTGTTCAAGATATTCATTATTAAAAAAATTTACCTGTACAAGTTCCATGAGGGCTTTACAATCTTCACGTACAGCTCTTCGTACAACATATGTCAGCCATTAACAAACGTTAATTTTAATTTTATATTTGCAGTAAACGTATAATTTTAAATATATTGAAAGTAAGCAATTTATATAGAATATATAGGTAAAAAACAACAAATTCCTTTAAATTTGAAATGATTTGAACTAAACTCGTAACTATATATGTTCTTGCCTCTGAATTTAGAGTAACATATATACTAAAACCAATTGCGAGAAATGAAAATTTTAATATATATATATATATATATATATATATATACTATATGTATATATATATGGTATATATACTCCGTCACAAAAACACAAAAACAATCCAGATAATCAAGTCTGCTTTGCTCAATTGTATGAGCAAAGCCTGCTAAAAACCGATAAGGTAAATTGTGTGTTGCGTATTGACAGGGCTGGGCATATTTCAAATACTTTTTGAAATACAGTATTTGAAATACAATTTGTATTTTGTATTTTGTATTTCAGCGGAGCACATAAAAGTATTTTGTATTTTGTATTTCAAATACAGTTTCAATCTATTTTGTATTTGAAATACTAAAGAAATTATTCATAAAAATTCTTGACAACAATTAATAGTAACTTAAATTTTTCTCATATAACAACTAGCGACACTAATGATTTTCGTCAAGTTTCAAGCAATATCAAATAATCAAAGTCAAATTTTATAATCTCACATTAGTAAATAACTTTTTCGTGCGATTGATACAGGACAATAGGACTGTTAAAGGGTGTAAGAGAGTAAAACAACTTTTTTTTCTCTCTCTAAAAGTGAAGAGAGAACTGTTGGAGGGGGAAGTTTAACATTACATATTATTATAAGGTTAAATTAAAAAGTATTTTGTATTTCAAATAAAAACTCTAAAAGTATTTTGTATTTTATATTTCAAATCGAAAGATTGAAAGTATTCTATTTTATATTTTGTAATTTAAATACTAAGATTGCCAGTATTTTTTATTTTAAATACTTTAATGATGTATTTTGCCCAGCCCTGCATATTGACTACAATGTGATGCTACAAATGCTTTAAATTGAGTATTAGTCAATTAATACAATTCGTTTTCCTGATTGATGGCAATCAAATACTTCGAAGTGTTTGCAGCGTTGATAGGTTCCACTCATTAGGTATGTTAATGGAATTCCAAGACTGCATTTTGTTTCACGCATGATGCACACGATATATCATTTTATTTTTGTTGTTCAATGATAATGAATATTAAACAAAGATAAAATGGTACATCATGCATATCATGCGTGAAACTGAATGCAGCCAAGATATGCTTCATTTCTCCTGCATTTCTATTGTTATGACTGGCTAGTCGCAATAAAAGAAGCGATGCTTAAAGAGCTGGATATTAGGGATCCGCTTTAAAATCATGATCTAATTTGCTTATATATTGCTGGCATACTGTTAGTACTTTGCCTACCTGGGCATTATGTGAGTTGCGTTATGTTGCATTTGGAAATACGTCTTCAATTCTTATCTAAATTTAAAATATGCCAAGATATGTGCCCTTGTAAAAAAGAGCTACTAATGCAGTGATAACACTACTGAAATTAATGTATTATAGTGTCAGTGCTTTACCGCAGTGCCACTACATTTTAGTAGTGTTATCACTGCATTAGTAGTTCTTTTTTACGAAGGTGTACAGCAAGTTTGATGTATTAACAATATTTATTCTCGCATTGAGATTTTCTATTTTAATTTAAAATAAAATTTAAAATAGTTTTCTTAAAAATGAGAGCGTTATATGTTTTATAATAATATAATTTTAAAATTTAGTTAGCATAATTTTCTTTAATAAGATATATATATATGGCGCAGTGGAATAATTTGCATTTATGTAATTGCGTTATCGGCTGCATTCAACAGAAGTTAGATTGCGTTCTATTTAACGTTTGCAATGCTCGTGAGTCTTATTATTATTTGTCCTTGTTTAACATTATTAATAAATAACAAGAATGAAATGCATGATTCCAAGAGCGTTACGAGTGTTAAATGGCTAATCCAGCTTTAGTAAGTTTGATAAGTATATATGATATGCATTCATTAAATTTTGCACTTATTAAATCCAGAAGTATATATATATATATATATATATATATATATATATTCCATTCATATACAGTCAAACCTCAATAACTCGAAAACCTCTATAAGATGAACATTTTGTTCATTCCCTTCCGCTTCGCTGCAGAAAAGCTCCTGTATAGATCGAAATAAAACCTATCTTAACTCGAATTATTTGTCAGGCATTTAGATATATATTTTGTCTCTGTAACTCGAATTTAAGTGGTAAAGCCACCTTTGGACGTACAAAATAAAGGCCAATTTTAGGAATCTTTTTCCAAGCGTATACTAAAACCGGTCAAAATTTAATATGAAGTATTAGTTAATATGAAGTTATTAGTTATCTTCGAAGGTACAAAAAAACATTATTTTAAAAGTTTTTCACTACAAAATGGCGACTCCAGTGTCCGGGTTAGGCGATGTCGAGCTCCCTAAACGGGCGAACCGGCTGCTCCGGCAGATTTGAGTCTGGAACAAAAAACTAAATTTTTTCTTTAAATATATATCATAAACTAGTAGACTACGTAGGGAAATTTGAAAATACCTTTTTTCGAAAAGTGGTGAGCATATATGAAAAGAAAGTTCATTTTTCACATAAAAATTGCGTAATAAAAGATCGGAAGAGCACAC